AGCTAATGGGCATCCTCCCAATCCTTTATTTATGCAAAGATTGCATATATTTTATAAAATCTGGAAAAAATGAGGGGAGGGGGCACTTAGGTGACTCCTGTCACAAACATCTTCAGCTTGGGGGTCTTACAACCTCTAAAAGCCACAAAGTAAAATACAATTTTGAAAAGCACAAAGCAGGGTATTAAGAAGGGAGAGTCAGAGAGCAAACACCCATCCCAAACCACCAACCAAAGCTGCTTCTGTGGCATTTTCACAAAGGATTTCCTTCTGATACACTGGAGAGGCAAGGCCAATTCTGTGGACAGCTTCTCGTAGTCTCCTTGATACCAGCTGGGAGGCAGTTCCCTCATATTAAGGGAGAGTCAGAGAGCAAACACCCATCCCAAACCACCAACCGAAGCTGCTTCTGTGGTATTTTCACAAAGGATTTCCTCCTGATACACTGGAGAGGCAAGGCCAATTCTGTGGACAGCTTCTCGTAGTCTCCTTGATACCAGCTGGGAGGCAGTTCCCTCTGATGGAGCCTCCCGTGCCCACCCTCTCCTGACCCTGTGGGCAGTTCCCTCTGATGGAGCCTCCCGTGCCCACCCTCTCCTGACCCTGTGGGCAGTTCCCTCTGATGGAGCCTCCCGTGCCCACCCTCTCCTGACCCTGTGGGCGGTTCCCTCTGATGGAGCCTCCCGTGTCCACCCTCTCCTGACCCTGGTGGCAAACAAGGCTCCTGCTCATGCCTCTCCTGTCCTTCTGTTCTCCCATTCCAGCTCAGAATATCTCCCCAGCCTGTGGGCAGTTCCCTCTGATGGAGCCTCCCGTGCCCACCCTCTCCTGACCCTGTGGGCAGTTCCCTCTGATGGAGCCTCCCGTGCCCACCTTCTCCTGATCCTGTGGGCAGTTCCCTCTGATGGAGCCTCCCGTGTCCACCCTCTCCTGACCCTGGTGGCAAACAAGGCTCCTGCTCATGCCTCTCCTGTCCTTCTGTTCTCCCATTCCAGCTCAGAATATCCCTCATGTGTCCAGGGCTTCTTGTTCACAACATACCCTCAACTCCATAACATCGCCTGCTTTTCCTTCCTGCATCCAGCTGTTTGTGGTACTCACAAAACCGGTCTCATATGTCTGGATGGCATAAAGAAGACAGCAGTCAATTGTGTCAGAATTGGTAGATTTTATGCACAAATGTGTTTTAAAAGTTTCATTATTGTTCCTTAGGTTTGTAATCTAGTTCCATCATACACAAAATGAGAGATGTCAGAGAAACAAAGAGAGGTCAATCCAGTTGCATTTCCTAGCGGTCAGTTGTTTCAGAAATGTTTCCTTCTCTCTCCCTCCCTCATATATAATCCTATTCTCGTCTTCTGAAATCTTTTTCTCACTTTTATCTTATATGCCAGTGAGTATATGATCTTTCTTGCATTAATGCCTGTAAAGAATCCCAAAACATGAATGTGAAAGACTATTCTTTGAAAACACCCTGAATAGCAAGCAGACTAGTTATTATCGTGAAGTCCCTAATCACCCTTTCCAGAAAAACTGGAAGTTCACCTTAGAATTTCATAAATGTAACAAAGAAAACTCAGCCAGAGGGTTTACTTTGCATATTTTTCTTCTCTATTAACCATACATAGTCACTTTTCTGTATCTCTCAGAACCAAGTAATGTGCTAAGATTCAGTTTTGTGGGAAAAAAAAAAATGGAAGGATATACCGGGTCAAGTTCAAAAGTAGGGCTACAAAAATGACAACAATATTAGTGCTTTGTCTATTACCACAAAGCTCTTTCACAATATTACAAAGTAATTTATGAGCTTTGCCATGCCCCTGGATCACCCATGCTATTATTGACTTGATGTTTTTCTTTAAATTCAATTTAAGATTTGTTTTTAACCTTTACTGCAGCAGTAATATAAACCACTTGATAGGATGCTTTCTCTTCACACATTTAGATAAATAAGCATTTGTTTTCAAAATTCCTTCCTGTGCCTCTGACTTCCATGCCACATGGCAGCAATGGGCACTGCACATGTCTGAGACCTGTTGCAAAGGTATGGAAGGTTCCACAGAAGGTAGAAAATAACCCAGCCTGGAAATCCAGACACTGACAGGCGTGAAACCTGCCCATTCACTTACCCTCTCTGAGCTGTTTCCTCCTGAGTCTCTCCTAAGCTGCAGCCACAGGACTGCTGAGAAGAGTAAACACAATTATGAACCTTAATCCCATTGGAAAGTCAAAATACTCTACACACTTATAAGGCCTTGTGGCAGAAGACATTAAGGAATAATATTCTTGTGCTTAGTTCTGCTAGGCTCACTCAGTATCAGATGATTGGGAGGGTCTGTGTCAGCAGTTACACTGCTCTTAGAGAGGACCCAAGTGCAGTTCCCAGCATCCATGTCATGGTTTGCAACTGCCGGAAACCCCAGCTCAAGTGAGTCCAATACAACCTCTGGACTCCACAGGCAGACATACACAGACACAGACACACAGACACACAGACACACATACACACACACAATTATAAAAATAAATCTTTTTTTAAGTCACCTGGGCCATGCATAGCATGTGCTGATTGCTCTAGAATGACACGTGTGACAAAATACTGATGTGCTAGTTAGTTTTTGTCAACTTGACACAAACTAGAGACACCTGGGAAGAGGAGACCTCAACTGAGGAATTTCCTCCATCAGACAAGCATGTGGGCATGTCTGTGAGGCATTCTTGATTGCTAATTGATATGGAAGGGCCCAGCCCACTGTGGGAAGTGCCATCCCTGGGCAGGTGGGCCTGGGCTGTGTAAAAAAAGCAAGCCTGGGGAAGCAAGCCAGTGAGCAGCTTTCCTCCATGGTCTCTGCTTCAGCTCCTGCCTTGGCTTCCCTCAGTGACGGATTGTGATCTAGGAGTTGTTAAATGAAATAAATAAACCCTTTCCTCTCATAAATTCCTTTTAGTCATGGTGTTTATCACAGCAACAGAAAAGCAAACTAGGGGAGCTGGTGAGCAATACCATCAACCTAGCAGCACGCTGAACTCAGAGTTCTGAACACTGTCAACGCCTTGGCCTCTCCAGAACAGTGTCAGCTTCATGAGTAAGAGGCTTGCATTGCCACATAGGGCCCTACTTTGTTAAGGTTTTTTGTTTGCTTTTGAGATAAGATCTCACTATGTAGTCCTGGCTGGCGTGGAACTCAGTATGTAACTCATGCCCTATAGCTTACAGTGATCGCTTACCTCTGCCTCCTACATGATTAAGATTTTAGCAAGAGATCCTGCTTTTTCATTTCTCATTGAACCCCACAAGTGCAAAGCCTGTTTTGCCCCCAGTTTCACTTTATCTGTAAAATATTTGGCACCCAAATGTTGATTCATTTATTTTTATTTTTACCCTTTTTTATGTGTATGAGTGCTTTGTCTGCATATAAGTGGACCACATGTGTGCAATGCCCATAGAAACCAAAAGAAGGTATTGTATTCCATGGAACTAGAGTTAAGGATGGTTGTTAGCCACACTGTAGGTGCTGGGAACAAAACCCATGTCCTCTGCAAGAGCATCCCAGTGCTCTTAACTGCTGAGCCATCCCTCCAGCGTCCTGGGCACCTGAAGTTTTAAAATCCCGCAGGTGACCCTCATGTGCAGTGAATGCTAGAAACCTCAGTCCCAAGCAGAGTTTTTCAGCCTGGCAGTGAATATTAAACTGTTGTGGGGCTGTGCTGTATGCTGTAGGCTACTGGGCAGCATCACTGGTCTCTACTCACTAGATGCCAGTGGCCCAGTGTGAGAACCCAAAACATCTGTAGACATTTCCAAACGTCCCCCTGGAGGATAGGGCAGAATCATCCCTGGATATGAACCATTTTTCTAAAGGAAGGAGGAAATCAAATGTCCTTCAACTTAGCTAATTAAATCCATGGTGTGAAGAATTGGGAAGTAAGCTATTTCAACAGAACTTACGAGAAAGAATATATCCTTTTCTAATCAGTGTTGGAAAGGTGGACAGCCTTTTGTTCCTTTTTAACATTTGCAGGGCTTTGGGAACAAGTTTCAGGCTTTATCTTAAGCTAAAATTGAGCAGGTGTTTGCAAAACAGCTGCTAAGCTGATCTGAGAAAAAGAACCCTATCAGAATATGTCACCACAAAGAGCACACATCAGAGTCAAGAATTTGCAGGGATCAGCACTAAATCATGCTCCTGCAGAGCCTAAAATATCGTTTAATAAGAAGGGGATGTTTGGGAGGACCTTAAAGCCAGTCGAGGGGCCACAGCACATGGTAAAAAAATAAGAGCTTTCCTGCTGGGAAGAGGGCACAATGTAGGAGACCACAGGCTGCCACCCAAAGGCTTGCTCGCCGATTGGAAGGAGGGCAGAGGCTAGA